TAATGCAATATCAGTAGCGACACTATATACAGATTATGAAGATAAGTAAAACAATTTATGGAACTTTACAGTTTTAACGAGGGAAATGTAGCCAGTTAAACTTTTAGCAATCATTTTCTAAGTATCCCTTACATTGGTCACTGTCCCACCTTAGCCCGGTGGCTCACAAACAAGCATCTTGTTCTATCCCGATTTGTAAATAACGTACGTTCAAGAGTCGTTAGTTCGCCGATCAGTTAGGTCAGTCCATAATCCAGTGGCCGCCGGCGCTGCAACCGCCGCGGAGCCAATAAAAAAGAGTTATAGTTGAGAAGAAAAGGAAAGTCTCCCGTCTCCGGCCGTTAGTTAGGGATCAAGGGCTCAGCTCGCGCCGGGCGATAATCATAATTTTTACTTACAAGAGCAAGAGTATAAGGCATTAGGTGGCGGGCTCGCGACAAATCTTTCCTAACTGCGGCCAACTTCGCGACTCCACTTGGTGTTAGCTCTCCACGCTCGGCACTATGTTTTGTGGAATAGACTCTAGATGTATACAGGTGCGGGCGCTCTGAGCTAAGCGAATGGTGAATGAGGAGTACTGGTGATGCAGGATGGTGGTTTATGTTTTCTAAGGTAGAGCTTTTAATAAGTTCTTAAACTGTTGCTTGTCGTGGGGAGACCGTGGACCGTGGCGGGCTGTCGTTCTGCGTGGAGGACTAAGTAGGAGCCATTTGTTAAACAGTGGACGTCTTCCGGCTGTTGATGATGATGGAAAGAAAGAAAGAAAAAACATTTATTCAGTACCAGTTGCATCTCATATTAGCTCGTTTTGTGTTTTGCAAAAGGGTTTCTGGTTCGGCTTACGTGACAGATAATTACATAAAATGCTCACTTTCACAATTATAGCCCAAAAATTATATTGTTGGTATTCAACGCGGTAATATGAAACTATAAGCTTTGCTGAAATACATACTATTATTAAAGACGATCAGAAAGGAGAACTCGATGGTCTTGTTATATAGATATTTAAAACAGAATACACGAAACACTTAAACGTACTACACCAAGTTCACCAACTAAAATATTCATAACAGCTACAAGGAAATATAGAGGTCCAAAATTACTTTATATGGATTAGATAGTTCTCATATCGTCGTGTAAAGGTAAGGTACTAAGGAAATAGCTTCCATATAAATATAAAGGGTACAAAAAGGGCCTGAAACAGCACATAACCACGTCCCGACCATTTACAAAGTCACCGTTGTGTTGTCCGATTTGATACACAAACAAAGTATGGCGGCCAGTAGCGAGTAGTCTCGTCACGTGGACCGAGTGGCCAGTGCGTTAGGACGCGCTATTCAAGTGTTATTCAGAATATGTAAACATCGTGCACGTGTGCGAATCTGTGGAGACGTTGGTGCTTCCATAAATTTTGAGGCCTTGAAGGTAGGTACTGTTAATGATGTGTGCAGTGTGAGTCTCATCATCATCGACAGCCTATAATTGGCCACTGCTTACCAAAGGCTTCTTCTCACACGGATTAGGTTTGAGCATTATTTACCACGCTTGCTTAATGCACCCGCATTGATTGGCGATTTCAGACTTATAATTAGAAATTATAGATAGATATAATAGGTTTTCCTACGATATTTTCCTTGTCCTTCACCGTTTATCAGTGGTAACATATAACTAGGAAAAAGTTACATTGGTAGGTTTCGAACCCGCGCCCTCATGCATGAGAAGAGGGCGTCTTAAACCTCCAGGCCACCACAACTTCTGTGCAGCGTGTCTATGTGTGTGAGTCTGAGTCTATCTATAGTCAATTTTCTGTTGCAGAATTGGAGGATAAGAATGGCAGATTTACTTTTAGATATCAACTATAGATTTCTGTTTAGTATTATACAAATGGTACAGGCCTAGTAATCAACGAAAATGAAATAGTCAATCGTATTTATAACCATCTCTATTTATTATTTAAATAGAGAGCATCCAAAATAAATCGTAACCGTACCCAGCGACATCTGTGATCGTTTTCGAATCATCAAATACTAAACACGTATCTTTCCCTAAGTTTATGCAAATGCACAACCTATCTAAACACGTGGTTTGCCTATTTCCAAAGTTGTAGCACAATTTTATTTCAAACGCGGATCAAATCCGAGACTTCATGTTCAGCAGTCGTAGGTACTTGAGACTACACGACAAGCGATATGAGCAAAACATTACTAAAGTAAAATTAAAAGACAGCTATTACTTACATAAGAAAGTACAACGAAAATAAAGTAGCAATAGCAAAGATGTCTCCACGGGTCTCTGTTCCGGTCCTCACGGGCCGGCTCGGGTCGGATTTGTTTTATGCCGCCCGAAGACATCGACTTACCGCGACCGTCCAGCCACGGTCTCCTTAATTTTATTACACGACCCGAACTCCAACAAAATGTCCTAATTGTGTCTCGAAAAACCAACCTGGAGAATGGAATTACCAATTTTGTGTCGTCCTTTTCTATGGGAGTACGTCTTATTGGACGTTGCCTTTCCTTGCTTCGGATTACATGTACTAGCTACTTTAATATATTATATTTACTTGTTACTACTGTTCGATGTTAGTGTAGGTATGCGTTTTGAATTTCTTGAAGTTGTTTCTATGGACTTAGCTGAGCTTCAATTAGAGAATGAATGCGGGAAGAACCTGTAGAACGGTTTTAGGAAAACGACATTGAATAATGAAATAAATAGTAATATTTGGAGCTCATACCTTGTACCTATACTTCCCAAGTAGCTAATTTGAGTTGTTTGAAATTCTATTAGATATCTAATTTTATTAGGTAAAAAGTATTTTTAATAACATATTTTGACGAAACTTCTTCCCACTTTACTCGATGAAAATGACATAATTTTACACAAATAATGGCGGATTGGTCTAGTCGTCCTTGAGTTTTGCGCTGAACAACTAGGTAAGGTAAGGTAGGTCATTACATTTTGTAGATGTATTAGTCGCGATGGCTCGGAGGTTAAAACGTCCTCTTCTCGATCATGAGGATTCGTGTTGGAAATCTGGCAAATGTGACTAATTCCAAGTTACACCTTGGTGCTTTCTAATATTATAGACCTACCTAGCTGAAACTGACGTACGGTGAAGGAAAACATCGTGAGGAGACCGACATATAATTTCAAATCACGCTAAGATTAAAATCGTCAATCTACCTTGATCAAGCGTGGTGATTGATGGTCATTCCTTCTTCATATACTCATGCTTTTGCTCAGCAGAGGGCACTTACGTATTTATTTTTAAGTGGGGAAAATCATCGAATGTCTGCTCCGCCTGGGTGAGGCGACAGGGAGTGTCAAACTCTTACTGACTAAAAACCACCCCGTTCCTACTCTTGCGCTTCGAGACGGAGCCCCGGTAACCCGTTAGGTTCTCTGCGACCGGCAGCACTTACGTAAAGGCTGATGATGGTGTTCCTAAGTAAAAGTGAAAGTGTGGTGAAGGTGTGATTACATACACACAACCTCATCTCATGAGAAACATCTCATGGGGGTAGGAAGATAGAGACTATGGTACGTTAATTACTACGATTCTTACCTCTTTCCCTTCATCAACAGTCATCAGTCTTTTCATGCAAGCTCGGTCGGTTAAGGCTACTTTGTGATTACATGATGTTTATAAAATTACTATTTTAATAGTTTCATAAAGAAATCCTTTCGATCGATTCAAATCTATGATTCGTAAAAATATAGTTAACCCTCGATGTTCTGTAGGTAGGTAAGTAGTAATGTTTTATTGTTAAGGAGACCTATAGAACTACTAGACTGGAGAGCTACGCAATGTTAGGTTTACATTAAAAACTTATTAATAACTTATTAATGAACTGTTTTTTTATTCATTAAAATTAATTTCTATTTGTTAAAGTTTCTTCAATAAATTAATTTATAAAGAAAGAAATACCGTTGTTATATCAGTAATATACTTCTCTTCAAAAAAATTAAAAATTACTTACACCTGTAAATATATATAATTTATACTAAAAATGTTTTTCCAACTTTGTTATTATTATAATTTTTTATCCATTGGTTCTGCCATCTGTTATCCAATAGCTACAACTCTATGAACGTGATTGCTTTGCCATCTCGTAGCGGGTAGTCGCAGCGCTGTTATTGCATTTCCAAGTTTATTATTTACTACAAGATGGCGCTGTTATCAAAACTGGGTGTAGTGATGTCTTTAATTCTACTATTTCCAATAACTACTATATGATTAATAACGAGTTATTTTATACTTGATATAAAATTTTGATTCGTAGACCGTACTTTGTTAAAAAATTTATACCGGGAATTTTCCATCATTGTTTGTTTGTCTTAATAATAAATGTTTGTTATTCAAGTATAACTACTGTATAAAGAAAAAAAACGAATACAATTATTTAAATAGCATAATAACTTAACATCTATTTATTGAGAAAATTTAAACATCACAGCTTATACCATTAAGTTATAGTTTCAAATATCATAAGGTTATTATAGAATATAGTTAAATAATAAAAGTTGCTTTTTATCAACACCGATGATGAATAAGGATATCACAAAGAATGAAAATTAAAAATCTTATTATTCCGTCAGTTAGGTAATGACAAAATATTAGACAATATGATTGATAAAACGAATTAAAGTTTAGGAATGGGAGCTAAAACATAATTTCTACGTATGTAACTTGTAGGAAACAAGTGACGTCACGGGATATTTCAAGTCAATATGTCGTTTAAAGTATTTGTTTCTGTAAGAAAATAAAAAATATGTGTCTGATGGTTTTAAATAATCTACAAGACGGACATTAAAATATAAATTAGTCATGTACCCTATTATTGAATCTTTAGAACATTATGCACGGAATAGTTTCTAGTACTTGTATATTTATTTCAAGATAATAAAATCTGTTTACTAAGTTATTTTTGTTGCAACTCTTGATAACGCAGTTGTCGTTATTGGTACCACTACCACCATCCTATGATCCCATCACTATTCGTTGACAGGAGCTAAATTGCCAGTCAGACGTCGAATGTTGGTCGCCTGAGTGACTTGACAATTGTTTATCAATCGATACGCAATAACTTCCAAACAAAGTGAAATTATACAGTATTTGTTTAGTATTTTGTGGGGAGAGAACCAACCTGGACTGCAGGAGATAAAACGAAAACTTTAAAAATGACAAACACCCTTGTGTTTTGTCTAATTGCACTCTTTTGTTGTACAGGTGAGTAATAACAATATGTACTTAGATTTACGTTTATTCTTGTAATTATTTACGTCCTTGTAATATTTTCGTGGTTTACTTACTTCATGTAAATCGCAAGTGAACAGAATACATTAAATTGTACTTCTAATATTTTTCCTGGGTCGTAAGTACCCGCAGTGGTTAATTATTGTTATTTTCGTATTGGATAGTGATTTCATCGCGGTATTACGAATGCAGGCTCATTAATTAGCGTTGGATCATTGCTGGAATTGACTAGCTAGTGGCTGCATAGTTTTTATGTACTTTATTGCAGTTACCTATTGTTCTAAATTTATCTAATAATGTTGTTATTGTGGCAGTAGAGCCTTCTCGAAATAATAAATATTTTATAGACATTTTAAAACTGAGCATAAATTAATTTTTACTGTTATTTTGACATCAAGAAGTTAGTAATAACTTAATTAGTTGGACAGTGTAATGATAATCAGCACTTGTGGCAAAGACATAGGCTTGATATTAAGAAGAAATAAGATAACTACAGAAAGTATCTGGTGTAACTTCTTGTGGTATAAACAATTTTAAATAAGCAACCATGTTCTCTTTATTATTATTATTATATTTTTAATAAACATCTGTAATACATAGTAATCATACATTTAAACTGTCAAACACCAAGCGGTCACCGGTGACCGCAACCTATTGTTCTATAATTGTGTCTACAAAACCGGTACTCGACGAGTTAAAGTTGATACTATTTTTTGAACTAGAAACCAAGTAATGATAATAGTAACATCATTTTGCATACTAATAATATTTCATTTCTGCTTATAATATTTTAGGATTAGCAATGTTGTGTCTATTGTATTAGCATCAGTACTATAATTGATAGTTTTTAACTTGTCGAGTACCGTATTTTATAGACACAATTAAAGAACAATAGGTTGCGGTCACCGGTGACCGCTTGGTGTTTGACAGTTTAAGTTAAGACTACTGTACCATTGTAAACAATAAAGTATTTTCAATATGTAACTAGCAAAATAATTTGTACTTCTGCTGAGTTTTACTATGTGTTCATGCCATGATATTGCCAAAGTAATCTTTTTTTTATTATATCATCTCTGCACTGCTTAAAGGTTGACTGGGAGACAATGCCCAAGGCATTAAGTCCACCTGTACACACTTGTTGTATAAAGTTGAAATAAATAAAAATAAATAAAAATATCAATCGACAAACATACTTATTAATTTTTCTAAAAGAGCAACCAATAGCTAATGTGCAGATTCTGCAATAACTAAATATTGATCCTTCTATCGTCATGAAACATAAATAACAATGGTCATTGGTTAGTTTATGGGAGCAGAGAAACAGTAGACCAGTACGTCCTACCGTCCGTTTGTTCCGTTATCAGTTTCAGTGTTCACGCCACAAGCTACTAATTGTGTTGAATTACAGTGATAAACAGCATTGACCCCGCCTGACTTGTTTTGCTGTTATTTTTATTATTTTGTCATTAAACGGAGATAAGCCAACTTGTGTCACTTTGATTCATCTTTGTTTTCTCTCCGCAGATTTGTCGTTTGCGCGACAAGTACCAAAGGAGTGTGCCAAAGGCCCGTCAGTATGGTGTCAGAGCCTCAAGTAAGTTCTGATGACAATAAGTCTATTATACACAGTACCAGTTCCAACAGTAGTACCTTGTTATGACACTATACAACTTGCACAGTTAAATCTTTGTTTCTGACCGAACTCGAGTCTGACCTTAGTACGATTCTTCTTGACAATTTCAGTAGTTATCATATTTTTTGTAATGTTTTTGTTATTTAAACTACATATATGTACAAGAATAAATTAATACAATATTAGTTATTTACCCAGAATAATTATTTGTAAGTTTACCTACTAATTCATTAAGATTTGTCTAATTACCCAGTCCTTCTAACTCACTATAAACTGAACAAACAAATATAAATGTAATGGTTAAGTAACTGCACCATACTTTGATCTTTCTAGTCCCTTTCTTCCATTTCACATTCATTACAACCATTCTAGAATGTCTAAATCATTAATTAGTTTCTCTACAAGTACAAGTTCTAACAAGTTAGTACTTAATAAATAAATAATTTATTTATGTAACGATAAAACTATTTAAATCGTTGACCTGGCTCTCTTAACATTGTTGCAACATGCAAACAATATTATTTATTGAAGTTTCTGTACTTGTGTAGTGAAACAGTGGAACAGTCATAATAATTTAAAGAGTATTGACAATCGATTACCTACGTCCGCGTCCGGTTAGTCACAGTCGTGTGTACAGGGGGAAATAAACTTCCACACAGTTCATTAAATGAATGAAACTGATATTTCAAACATCATTATGTTCAGTTGAGAACTGTTTCCCAAGACCAGCTGTTGAATATTTTACTTGATATTTTTGGCAGTGGTATCGGCAATTACGATTGTCGAGATTTTTTTCCTACTTTTTGTTATGTTGTCATTTGTTGTTCTGTCGATAAGGGAAGCGTTAAAAGTATAGTAATCAGCTCGATATTTGATGAGGAAACAAAAATATCAAATTATTAAATGACTATCTGGACACTTCACGAGAACGACGATTTAGTCACAAGTTTACAACATTTTTGCTTGGTGATTAATCCTACCTATCTACTTAAGTACCTACTTTTTCTCTTTTCTTCTCAACCGGACAGAATTTGTAGAAGTATGCGTGTGTGTAACTGAATTACGCCAACATGGCTTTACCAAGCCAGCCTCCTAACTACATACATTCAAACACTCGAAAAAGAAAGAAAAACATACACGAATTCATAATATCATAGTAATGATAATACCCAGACCTACTATAGTAGTCACTAGTAGTCAGGTACAACATTCCCAATAGTTACTCCACACAACTTCCTTCCACACATGAATCACATAATGACTTTGATTGGCAGACGCGGCGCTGAGTGCGGGGCCGTGGGTCACTGTACATCCACCGTGTGGGAGAAACAGTCAGAGACCGTAGCACACAATGACGTGTCCAACAAGTTCGTCAGACTCTTCAGACAGCTGAAGGATGTCAGGGAACTGATTAATGAGGTTTGTATTTCTTTGTATTATAACTCTCTAGAGATGCATAATTGTGTTTTACGCCTTACTCATGTAATTGTTTTACGAGGTAGCCCGACTGGTTTCAACCTCGTTGGGGGCTCATACTTCATACTCATGAGCCAATGATGCCGCGCAAAAGACACAAAAACTAAAGCTGTCTGACTGACTAGAATCTTATATCCTTACAATACTTTTTGACTTTTAGTCTAAGATTACCTACTTAGTCGAATGATCCAACCAAGTCGAGAGTGTCAATACCCGCGTCGTATCTATAGTGTTATATTGAATTATAATATAAAGGTTCGTAATTGACATTAACAATGGTATTCCCTACAATAATTGAATCTGGAAGGTACCTATAACCCGGATACCATTTCATTGATAGTTTTATAGAAGCTAAATTGGTCATGCAGTACCTATTAACCACGATATGACAATTTTTATCTTTTTATTCACTTGCCTTTTTTGGTCTACTACTTGTTAACACATTAAACGCCATGGGGGACACCAGTGACCGACGTTAGCGTAGGATTTGCCTTCAACAGTTTTCTATTAGCAGTCAAAACCTTAAGAATTAGTTTATCATAGAATAGGAGCGGAGAAAACTCAGCCCACATACCAAGCTTGGGACTAGATAAGGGATTTATCAAAGTTATCTCATTCACAATAAATATGACCCAATTTTCTTAGATTAGGGACTTACTGATATTTTCTTTCTTGAATGAAATTTTGGATGGCATCAACCAAAACGTCGTCGGAGAAGTAAAACAAAGTGATCTGAGGTAGGAAGATGACTGTTTACTTGGTAATGTTATTCCGAAGTCAGCTCGGGGTTATTCTCGGTACATGTTAATAGATTCTCCCATATTACTAAGAGATGAGATTAATAAAGAAACTGGGGGAAAGAAAGGAAATTTGCTGTAAATATACTCTTTTGGATACAACAGAACATAACATCACGCCTTTTATCCCCGAAGGGGTGCTGTGAAGGCAGAGGTGCACATTACGGCACTTAATGCCACTGTACAATGTAACACCCACTTTTCACTATTTATGTTATGAGTCCCATGTAATAGGGGGTGTACCTATTGCCATATACAGGGCACAAATCCAGACTCCGAGCTACCACTGAGATTTTTTTTTAAAACTAAGTAGTACTTTGCCCGACCCGGGAATCGAACCCGAGAGACCCTTTGCCCGGCAGTCGCACTTGCGACCGCTCGGCCAACGAGGCAGTAAATGTGATGATCTATATAATATCCATCTTCAATTAAAGAATCTAAAAAACAAGCGTTATTTTTCAACCAGGACTACTTGGCCTCCCGCGTGGCATCAGAATGCAAAGACTTGCCGTACCCGGCCGTCTCCAAGATCTGCAAGGACAATACGGCATACTTGCAACAGTACATTAACCATGTGCTGCAGTCGGAAACCTCGCCGGAGACCATGTGCAAGCTCATTGGCATGTGCAACAACAAGAAGGTCGAGAACATACTCAGCATGGACGTAAGTAGCCAACTTTTTATCTAAGTTATACATTTTTAACCAATTGTATCTAGAATCCGAAGTCAACAATATAAAATACTTAACAACTATAGATTATTAACTGAAATTAATAAACCTTTCAAGGGCAAATTTTTCAATCATCAGTTAATTCTCAACTGTAGTATAAAATTGACATTTCACAGGTTTTAGAGGTAGTATAGAAAAACTAGCTATTCCGCGCGGTTTTACACGCTCTGCTCAGCTCCTATTGGTTGTAGCGTGATGTTTTATCCATCCTCGATAAATGCGCTATCCAACACAAAAAGAATTATTCAAATCAGACTTGTAGTTACGGAGATTAGCGCGTTCAAACAAACAAACGAAAAAACAAACTCTTCCGCTTTATATAATAGTAAAAGATTGTCAAATATTTAAAGTTATTCCTCGGTTAAAATTTATCTGGCGTCGGAAGTTTCGGCCCTAAATCCCATCCAAAATAGAAATCAAATGTCTTTGATATAAATGTATTTCTGTGAGCTAGGATTCTATCCTAATGTACAGATGCACTATCATCATCCCAATCTGCATGCATGCAAAATGACTGCACGGTTGGCGCGGTGGTGTCGCGGGTTCGATTCCCGCAAGGAACAACTCTTTGAATGGTCCACAGATTGTTGTTCCGAGTCTGGGTGTCATGTGTGTGTGAACTTGTATGTTTGTAAACGCACCCGCGACACAGGAGAAAATGTTAGTGTGGGGCAACATTTTTAAGAAAAAAAAATCATTCTTCTACCAATTTTATATGTCGGAGTACTCTTAAGTTGATCTTGCTAACGGCAAAGATTGTCTTTAATTGACTAAATAGATATCTTGACAAAATAAGAGAAGTGCAATATCAACTATTGGGGGACATATAAATATTTTTGCACAAAACGCTACAATTCTATTAATAGATCTAGCTAGTTGTAGATATGTAAGTATTCCCAGACGTGAAAATAACATTACGAAACGTATTTATAAAACGCAATATGTATTTCGTAGCTAGTTTCGTTTGTTTGTTACCGCCTCACTGCTATTATACTTTTATGCGTGAATGTGTTTTTAATTTATAGGTTTTCGCTTACTGCCAGTATAGTGTGATCTCTCATTAGATTATGTAAACTAAATAGGAAGTCTTTTAGAAAAATAACAATTTCAAACATACATCTACCTAAATCGTGGTTCACGTTACACTGGTATGCTCATTAAATTGAAATGCAGCTTAGTATAAAAGATCTAGTATCTATTTTAGGTTATCTAGAGCTTTATATACTAAAATGTCGTGGTGGCCCGGAGGTTTAAGACGCCTGCTTCTCATGCATGAGGGTGGGGTTTGAAACCTACCAACGGCAAGTACCAATGTGACTTTTTCCGAGTTATATGCACTTTCTAAAGATTATTTAGACACCACTAACAAACGGTGAAGGAAAACATCGTGAGGAAACCTAGACTTATAATTTCTAATTATAAGTTTGTAATCGCCAAACCGCATTGAGATAGCGTGGTGATTAATACTCAAACCTTATCCGTGTGAGAAGAGGCTTTGCTCAGCAGTGGGCGTTTATAGGCTGTTGATGATGAGAACTTTATATAGCAATGTACCTACTTAAATCATCAATAGATTAGCCCAGTAAATAAGACGCGTGTCGTCTTTCAGGGTCATATAATTGTCACGCGGAAGAAATACACATTACCATCTTTATAGAATGTAGGATACGAATAAGATAGTGCCTTAGTGCCTATCAACAGACAGTTAAGGAAATGAACAATATTTATGTACATATTACTACTTCAGTCGATGTTTGTATTAACTCAATGTTACCTATATTCTGTCTTCTGAGTCATTTGTTAGGTACTTGTTATTATACATTGGACACCACATTTTGTCATAAACTTGAATGATTATTGAAATTATACCTTTGAACTTTCAAATGACTCATATGATATTTAAATGAAATCAAACATTAAGTTTACAATCATAGGACTCATATTGGTTTTGATCCACGTTATTATACCTATTCTAGTTTTAATTTGTATCTTTTATTTCACAGAAAAAGAAGCCAGCTGCGCCTAAAGTGATCAAACATAAGGGTAAGTGATTCACTCTTTAAAAAGCCTACTATGTGATTGATACTTAAATTCCTAGACAACATTCCTACAGCGGGGAATGTACATACATTATTGTGATATTATACAACCGAACCTTGGAGAGAAGTACCTAAATCGTTTTTGAATTCGATTCTAACATTTACTAGGTCAGTGTTAGGCAAACGTACCTATCTCATGAACGAAGTCTAACGAAAAATCTTCGATTCAGTTCAGAGGATAACTAGAGTTCTCCTCTGAACATCTTCCATGTTCATGGTATAAAGAACTTCATACCCCGCGATCTGCAATGTGGCTTAGTGTAAACGTATCAGCGACTTGGATTATAAACATACGTATTCATTAGATACCATTTCGAAGGACTATAGATGGAGAACCTAACGGGTTACCGGGACTCCGGCTCGACGTGCAGGAAAGGAACGGGTGGTTTTAAGTCAGTTAGAGTCTGACACTCTCTTCCGCCTCATCCAGGCGGGAGCAGTCATTCGATGATTTTCCCCCCGTAACAAAAAAAAGGACCGGATGAAATCTGTCACAGGTTGTAGTTTGTCTCCAGAAGTAGATTACAGAGACAATACAGTACGATAAAGCAACACTTTATACAATTTCTTCTATAGATAGATACACATGAATGTTTTGTTTCCACTGTCAATATGAAAGAATGTCAACTTGGCGCTTGTTTCTCTCACTGAAGTAGGACAATGCTATTGTTTCTGTCGATCACTGAAAATTCTCGACTGAAACATCTTCATTCAAAGTGGTTCAAATTAATTTATAACTAATTGTTGCATGTCTAAGATTCTATGTGAGATTGTAATCATAGCTAGAATATTTTATGAGAACAGACAATGATAATGATAAATAAATAATCATTTAAATAGACGTTCAGCAAAACCAGCAGCTGTAGCCAAATGCCATTTAGCGCTTGTCTACATATAGAATAGAAAACTAAATTATATGGAATTGACGTAAATTTTGACACTTGTCAGTGGCATCCCCATACATTTTGATTTATACTCTCTCTGTAGACAAGCGCTAAAGTGGCGTTTGGCTAAAGGCCCAGATGATCGTTTTATCTCATTGTTGTTGAGAATAAAAAAAATGTAAACCTGAAAAAGGCCGTTAAGCCGTGCCTGTTACTTCATTTAAGCCTTTGACAGCCAATAAAAAACTGTTGAAGGTAAATCCGCTAACGTCGGTCACCGGTGACCCCCATGGCGTTTAATGTGTTAAGACCTGTATGTATTACATTAACATACAAATAAAGACTTTGAGTTTGATACGGTAGTTGACAACTAGTCAAATTCAATACTTTTATCGAAACGTCAAAACCGATACTGATCTATGAATTTTGTGCGAAATCCCATCTTATGACGTCATCTTTTTTTCGCGTCCAATAGCACACTTATATCTAAAAAAAAATGCTAGAATAAATCGAAAATTAAGTATATCGGCAAATGAATGAATGAAAGTGTAACTATTTTTCAATATTTAATTGGACTGAAAAATCAAAATAATTTATTTTTGACCCAGGTCTAGTACGAAATTGTTTAAATACGTTGATGTATTACTATTAAATGTTGAATTCAATACACACATTTCTCTTTAGTGTGATTAATAAGTATCTATATTATAATTTTAATATCGCTAAACAACATAGCAGTTGATAAGTCTACTCACTGTTATTCTAGAAAACAAAATGATAGAGATGTGTCACTGTTTACTAAGAAATGAAATGAAATTCGTTCCATAGCATAGAAATATTTAAAAGGTACGCCTTTGTATGTGTATTATACGTACAAAGACTCAAGTTATAACTGGGTGATGTAAAGAGATGTAAAGGCTAGTCCACCACCAAACCAACAAACCACCTAAACTAGATTTGACATGTAAAATGTAAATAAAGAAGGTATTTTATCATTTTAAATATCATATGTTCAAATACTCAAACACCACTGAAATCTTACTATTTGAACATAACTCATTATAATATTAATACTATAAATATATGATAATTATTTACTGGCAACTACCCTATTGTTTGTAAAACGACAGAGATGGCACGATACTCAAGTACAATTTAAAATTGAGTAACCTTTCAATATTCGGGTGATAAACAACAATGGATTTAAAATGCTTCTATTTTTCTTTCGCTTCAAAAACGATGTAGTGATTAAAATTGTGGAAATGCAATAAAACTGTTGATTGAAATGCGATGAATACCGACTAATTAGCAATCTCAAGTTTATGACTAATATTCTTGGCAATGGCATTGAAATTTCGTCAATAATAAAGTACGCATTTTTCTACTTTTATTGCCTGATTATTTTCGTATAATGGAATTTTTTTGGAAAAACATGCTCTGGGATTTTCACCCTTTTAAAACCACATAGGAGTGCACCTTCAGCACCTACGAAAAGGAGCACCGGGTCATCTAAATGACCAATTCCGAAGCCCGTTGAATGCAACGCCATTTACGACACATCCCTAGGGTACTTGATAAGTCAAGTGCCCTAATCTAATGGTTTTTAAATCAATCTATTATTCTTTTGGCTGGATTTAATGGCCGCTAAAAATAACGACTTATTATAGGTATCTTTTATTATATATGTAGGCATGTTTACAACTTTCAGTTTTTGTTGTTTACGTTTCACTTTCAATGCATGTGCCAACTGCTAACGTATGACATGACTTTCATATTCTCAGAGACATGATTAATGTTCCCGATACTTTATTTATACACCTACATATAAATGTGTAGGTGCTTATTTATATTTTGCTAAGTATTTTTGTAGAGATGCGTGTACCTGTTGATAAAGGGCTATTAGGATTAAAATGACCAAAGTAAAAGAAGCATTTGTTTATTATGGGTTAATATCCTGGACTTCCACGAACATTTTTAAGACCAAAATTAGTGTCAAATCGGTTCAGCCGTTCTCGAGTTTTAACGAGACTGGAATGTTTATAACTTCGGAATTCATAACCTATTTACTGATTTTGCCCGACTTGACAAGTGAATTTAAGTCCTAAATAGACTAAGCTAAAATGCATTTGTTGTTTCAGAAAACCTTTTGGGCAGCTCCCAGTGCACATGGGGACCGTCTTATTGGTGCAGCAACTTCAGGTAAATACAAATATTAAACAAGTTACAATTCCCAACATTTTATTTAGTTCCGTGGTGCTTGGCGACCAGGCTTAATTCATTCTGTCTCCTGCAGTAATTCACCGAGGGAAGTGGCAACTATCGCTTTTTTCCTTCTCCTCTTATAACATCTTCTGATTCACTACGTTGTGGGAACCAAGACAGTTATTCATGTCGATGAGACGCGCCGGACTTCAGTGTTCCGGTGTTTTCATGGTTGTATCTACTATAGATCCTGGCTTACAGGAGTTGCAGCGGTTCGAGAGAATGTGGCGGGCTTGTCCCATTAAAAAAATATTTATTAGTGGATGAGAAGTTACTATTTAATTATTTATTACTTAAGGCTTTGACGGTCAATAAAAAAGTGTTGAAGACAAATCCTCCGCTAACGTCATCGGTCACCAGTGACCCCCATGGCGGTTAAGGTGTTAAATAAGTTTTGTGTCCATAAATTAAAATTACATAAGGACAACAAACACTACAGTATATTATGTCTAGTTTAAATGAAGGATAATAATTTTATTACTGGTTTTTTTTTAATTCTCAGTAGTAGGACGGAGTCTGGAATTGTGCCCGGTATATGGCAATAGGCTCACCCCCTATTACATGGGACTCATGACATAAATAGTGAAAAGTGGGTGTTACATTGTGCCTGCCCTTTCGGGGATAAAAGGCGTGATGTTGTATTACGTTATGTAAAATAAGGATAAAATAATAATATTTTGATTTCGCGACCTTGGGCTTCAATTAACTATGTAAAGCAGTTATAATTAATAAACTATATCCTGTGTTGGTTTATTATTTATGCTAATATAGTTATGATTCACATTTTATTATTTTAGATATGGCTTCGGTCTACATTGGTATTTTTTGTTTTTTTTTATGGCATAAGCCGGTAAACGAGCACGAGGATCACCTGATGGTAAGCAATCGGCGTCGGCCGTGGAACACTAGAGGCGTTACAACTGCGTTACTGGCCTTTTGGTATTAGGAATTTGAGGATTGTTGGGACTCAGGAATTGGGAAAGGGGGGGAGGGGTAATTGGGCCTCCGGTAACCTCACTCACGCGACGAAACAACGCAAGCGTTGTTACACATCGGTCTTTTGTGAGGCCGTCATTATATTAAGACTAGCTACAGTCGCTTTGCTCGGCTCTTATTGATCGTGGCGTAATGTTTTATACCCTATACCCTTTTTCGACAATTGAACTATGGATAGTTCAATTGTCAAAAAATTTAAATCTAATACGACCTTAAAACCTTCAAGCAAAGAGCCTATTCCTTTTCAAAGGCCGGTAACGCACCTTGGACTCCTCTGGTGTTGGGGGTGGGCGGCGCTGATCGCTTACCAATTACCATCAGGTGATCCGTCTGCTCGTTTGCCTACTATTCCATAAAGGAATTGAAATCAGACTAGAAGTTCCGGAGTTCAAACAAACCAACTCGTCAGTATATAATTATACTAGCTACTTCCGCGCGGTTTCACACGCTCTGCTCAGCTCCTATTGGTCGTAGCGTGATGTTTTATAGCCTATAGCCATCCTCGATAAATGCGATATCCAACACAAAAAAGAATTATTTAAATCAGACCTGTAGGTACGGAGATTAGCGCGTTCAAACAATCAAACAAACTCTTCCGCTTTATATATTAGTATAAGATTAGTTCGATATATATATAAGCAAAATATTATAGAACAAAAATGTGAAACTAAAGTATTTTTTTAATAAAACAGCTATTATTACTAATTCTTCAAATAGAAGATCAGGCAACTGCCTAAGTAACACCTCTGCCTAGGTGCAAAGTGCGTATAAAGACTAGACACATATTTATTTACTATAATTATACGTACACCTGAGTCTGATTACTACCGGCATTGTGAATTTCCATTCAATTCATATTTGTTTGTTTATTTTTCTTTCGCGTCGTAGCTGAGCGATGATCTTTTTGTGTCTGGAGACACAGACAAGAGGCTGACGCGTGGAATAGGAGAATTTTTTTTTTCGTTTGACCACAAAGGTCAAGCTACGCTTGTAGAAACTTTATTAATTACCTATAAAATATGAATAATTCACAAATTGATCATTGTTTCATTATAAATTGTAGAATCCGTTATAAGAATTGTTCAATTATGTCTCAATGCGGTACTATAGCCGGATCGAATCGCCATAATTATGTTTTCCATAGCAAAATTCAAATTTTGCATTTGTGTAGATATAAGCAATAGAATGACAACTTACCTATGCAGGCCGTATTACAGTGTAATCAATTTTTCGCTTTTTCTTGCATTCGAATCAAAATAATATTAGGCAAGGAAAATTCGCGGTTGCTCTTGAAGCGAACTTCAATCGACGAGCATGGCAAGAAAGTGATGAATGTTGATGAAGTGAAAGAGGCATGCCCTAATCACATTGTGTCTATTTATCCCACTGGGAGATATTATACGCTATTATAGTTGTTATTTGTAGGATAAAAATAGCTTAGGGCTGTATGCTCAAGTTATTTTTGCGATATACGCTTTTATAGATACACCATAGTTATAGTCGGTATCAATTGTTACAGGCAAAAACTACATTTTTTGTTACATTGTATTTATAACAATAATATCAATACATTTATATTTAAAGGACAGCATTTAATACGTATTATTTCCTATTGGGGTTGTCGCTGTATCTAAAAATAACAAGGTATAATAATGATGCTTAAAATACCTAATTGGATACATTGTTAGTACAACTATGAATACTTCAGGAAATTTAAGTCAGGTTTTCAGGTGTCATTACATAAAAATATAGTGCCATATACATAGTGGAAAAGAAAAGAAAGATGTTATGAGTCTCTTGTAATAGGGGGTGAGCCATATACCGGGCACAGTTCCAGACTCCGTGCTACTACTGAGAATTTAAAAAAACCCAGATGAATTAAAAGAATCCGACGACTTGCGACCACCGGGCCAACGAGGCAGTCAGGCAACTTCTAGAAAATGTAATCGATATCTACAAACAATAATAGTGATTTATAAGAACAATAGTACAGTACAGATTACATTGCATAAGAAGGTACTACCTCTATAGCCATAGCAAACCGCAGTTGTAGGCAGACCACTAGCTTGTAACAATTCATTTATTACCTACTATCGATTCAATTCGATTCTCGGTTACAATCGATTGTAAAACTATTTTTTACATAACTATCGTTGTGCAAGCCGTTCGTTGTCTAGTTACATTAGTGCCTACCTTATAAGCGAATAATTCGTAGCGAATTAATTTCAACATGTTTTCATTGAAATTACTGCGTATAATTCGGGTTTTGGTACGGCCATTGAAATTTTTTTTTTGTTCTAACTAGATAGGTAGAACTGCGAAATTTATATAAAACTAGCTGTTGCACACGACTTTGTCCGCGTAGGATATGAATTTTAGAATATAACATTTTTTGTTACAATTTTCCAAAATAAAAGTATGTTACTCTTTAATACGTCAGCTACCTGCCAATAAAAGTCTTGCAAATTCGGTCCAGTCATTCCAGAGAACAGCAACTTGCAGGCAAACAGACAAACAGAACTTGCAAAAAAGTATATTTCTGTATCGGTATCGTATATATTTTATATATGCGTGTAGTAAAAAGCGGATATTTTAGTATTACAAATAGACACTCCAATTTTATGTATCTGTATATATTTAAATACCTAGGTTACCCGCCTATACCTATATTGAAATCTTAATTGGAACGACATCGTAATACAGTAATTTAGATTGTTTGGTGATTCAGATTAAATATAGATTAGATAATAATACAAGCGATTGTTCTAGATTAGATTTCGCCCGACATGTTAGATTTTTAAAACATCTAATTACATTTTCTAATAATGTTTTAGTCAACTAAGTACTTATGTGTCTAATATAATTTCCGCAACTTAACACATTTAAGACTGCCTCGTTGGCCGAGTGGTCGCAAGTGCGACTGCCGGGCAAGGGGTCTCGGGTTCGATTCCCGGGTTGGGCAAAGTATTACTGGGTTTTTAAAAATCTCAGTAGTAGCACGGAGTCTGGAAATGTGCCCGGTATATGGCAATAGGCTCATCCCTTATTACACGGGACTCACAACGTAATAGTGAAAAGTGGGTGTTACATTGTACAGTGGCATTAAGTGCCATAATGTTCACTGTTCACGTCTGCCTACACCTTCGGGGATAAAAGGCGTGATGTTATGTTATGTCAACTAAGTATGTATCTGATGTAATATCCGTAATTTAAAACGTTTAAATGTTTACTATATATACCTATAGTGTATGTCTAAACTTGTTCTATTGTTATTGAAACAAAAGAACAAAGTTGTATATTTTTCTTATCAGAGAATGTAATTTGTGTTTTGCATATTATCTCTATAACATACTACGCTTGGTAGAGTTCACTGATTGTGATTAATCGACATAAGAATACAAATAATACCTCTAAAGGTGTACTTGTAATGTAATATTAATACATTATAGATTCGACTTTGAGCATTACATTACAATAATACCTCCCTGACTAACGAGCATTTGCGTGTAATTTAACATATAGATTTGACTTTGAGCATTTCATAGCAAGATGTCAGACGTTGATGTTACAAGTTGTATCGAGATAATACACATTGTATCATTACAAGGTGCGCATTGTAATGCTCGGTTCTCCTCCTTCACTGGTGTAATGCTCAGATCTGTAACGTTACATTACACGCGAATGCTCCCGGTGAGGGAGCTCCTTTAGGTTCAGACAACCTCTTTGGTAGAAAGTCAATGTTTGACGGCACGGTTCGCACTTTTTATTTGATCGACAAATTGTTGTTTCGGGTCTGGGTGTCATGTGTATGTGAACTTGTATGTTTGTAAACAGGGGAAAATCCTAGTGTGAGGCAACATTTTTATAAAAAAAAAACTAAGTAAGGAGTCTTAAGTCTTATTTTAAAGAATTCACAGTAATAAGCACACATTCTAAACTCCATCGTAGTCAATCGACCATAACATATTTCGATTTATAAAATCCAAACATATGTACCAGGTCTGTTTTTTTAACTGAAACCTCGATTAGGCGTTGATTTAATTGTAAGCATTTACCATCTGTATCAATACAATAATCAAACCAAGGATTTATGTATAGTAGTAGCATTATACGGTTTCTGTCTTTGGTCTGTTGATTGAAGTGATGAAGTTTATGAAATGAGTTTTTATTTTGGAATACCTATAAAGGAACTTATCTTAAATTCCTCAAAGAAATAAGCAAGGGTACTGTCTACATTAAATTAGACACCCACTTTTTGTTAGTGCAATTATGAACAGTCAA